TGGAGTTTGTGTCCCACCAAAGCTTTTTCTGCCTGATCAGACATTTTTCATCATCCTCATCAGAGACCAAGAAATCCCATGACCAACCGCAGCAGCACCACTGACCCAGAACACACACACACACACACACACTCCTCACAGAATCACAGATGTAAGTTTGTGCACATCTCACACTCTCAGCGGCTTATTTGTGTCTCACTACAAGCTTTTCTGACATTTTTATCATCATCATCATCATCATCATCATCATCATCATAAGAGACACAGAAATCCCACAACAACAAACCTGAAATACAGACACACGCACACACACACACTTAATGCACACATGTCCGGTTCACACACACATTTACACACTCCTCACAGAACGAGTCTGAGCTCATATCTCTCTCTCTCTCACATAGGCACACACACACACACACACACACACACTGAGAGTTTATGCACACATGTCCCGATCACACACACACACACACACTTACAGAGAGTGAAAGTATCTGTACTTACTCCAAACGCTGAAGAATCACAAAGCACTGACTGAAACACACGAGAGAAGCACACAATCATCAGTACGGCACGAGGAAGATGAGGAGGATGAAGATGCTGAAGAAGATGAAGAGCGTGATGAAGACTCACCCAAAAGCCTTCAGAGGAGCGCTGAGGATCCGGAGGAAGGTTTTATGTCTTTCTGTCACTCCAGCCAGAAACAGCCGCGATGAGGAGGATGAAGATGAAGATGAGGATGAAGAGCGTCTTATTCCACACACTGACAATCAGCCGCGATCATCCGCGCGTCCGACGCCCGCGAGCATCACAGAGAAACACGCGCACGCAGAGAGGAGATACCTGACTGTGTGTGTGTGTGTGTGTGTGTGTGTGTGTGTGTGTGCAGTTCCGCCTCGCGCCGCAGGGTGGCCGGAGAAACGCGCAGCACACTCCAGACTGAGCGAACAGCTTCATCTGATTAAATGAGCATTCACTTTGATCATTTTGCGATCATTAGATGAATGTTACTGCTGAACGGTCTGAAACGAGTAGAAAAAAAAAGTTATAAAAAAATAAATAGCTCCATGAATGATGTATAAATACCATTTTGAGAACATTATGAAAGCGCAGACAACTGATTAAAATGTGAAATGTTTTTTTAAAAAAAAGTGTTTGTTTGTTTTTCTTTCTTGGTTATACAAACTATAAGGAAACAAGTAGTGACATTAAAAAAAAAAAGTAGAAGAACGGCCAACTAAAATGTTTCAGAAAAAAAAACAATGTATAATGTTTCTGAGCTATTAAGCTGTTCTTTGAGGGAACGGCCAGAACGTTGCTTGTTATATGCGAGAGCACTAACACGAAGCGTCCTTGTAGTCCTGTGATTTTATAGACATGAACCACTAGTTCTTTAAAGATGCAGAAGTAGTGGTTCATGTTTATAAAACCATCTACATTATGAGCAATCCTTCCGCGGTTTAAAGCGGCAGAGCTGTGACTGTGACGCTTCATTGTGTTTCACAGATGAGCTGGAGATTCAGCAACGTCTGACATAGAAAACAACGAAGAGGCAGTTTCACCTCACACACTTGCAGGAGAGCCGCATAGTGAGTGAGTGTGTGTGTGTGTGTGTGTGTTTTAGTACACACACACACACACTCACTCACTCACTCACTCACTCTCACACACACACACACACACACTCACTCACACACTCACACACACACACACACTCACTCACTCACTCTCTCACACACACACTCACACACACACACACACACTCACACACACTCACTCACACACACACACACACACCCACACTCACTCACACACACACACGCACACACACACACACACACTCACACACACACACACTCACTCACACACTCACACACACACACACACTCACTCACTCACTCTCTCACACACACACTCACACACACACACACACACTCACACACACTCACTCACACACACACACACACACCCACACTCACTCACACACACACACGCACACACACACACACACACTCACACACACACACACTCACTCACACACTCACACACACACACACACTCACTCACTCACTCTCTCACACACACACTCACACACACACACACACACTCACACACACTCACTCACACACACACACACACACCCACACTCACTCACACACACACACGCACACACACACACACACACTCACACACACACACACTCACTCACACACTCACACACACACACACACTCACTCACTCACTCTCTCACACACACACTCACACACACACACACACACTCACACACACTCACTCACACACACACACACACACCCACACTCACTCACACACACACACGCACACACACACACACACACTCACACACACACACACTCACTCACACACTCACACACACACACACACTCACTCACTCACTCTCTCACACACACACTCACACACACACACACACACTCACACACACTCACTCACACACACACACACACACCCACACTCACTCACACACACACACGCACACACACACACACACACTCACACACACACACACTCACTCACACACTCACACACACACACACACTCACTCACTCACTCTCTCACACACACACTCACACACACACACACACACTCACACACACTCACTCACACACACACACACACACCCACACTCACTCACACACACACACGCACACACACACACACACACTCACACACACACACACTCACTCACACACTCACACACACACACACACTCACTCACTCACTCTCACACACACACACACACACACACACACACACACTAACTCATACTCACACACACACACACACACACACTAACTCATACTCACTCACACACACACACACACACTAACTCATACTCACACACACACACACACACACACACACACACACACACTCACTCATACTCACACACACACACAGACGGTCATGTCACTTACTGTTAGCAATGAAGAGAGAGCAGAATAATGTCGGACAGAGAGAGAGAGACACTGCTCATTTTTCTCTTTATTAATGACGTGTGCATTATATCATGCTTAAATGTGAGTCGGAGCCTAATTAAAAAAAAGGGGGCCACAACAAAGACTTTTAATTGAATGTCAGTCCAGGAAGTGAACATCTGATTCCAGAGCAGCTCGTTTGCCTTTATTCGCTGCTCTACAACTGAAACGCATAGCTGCAAGGGCCGGTTTAAATTTAGAAAGAGCTCAGGAAGGAGAGAGCAATACAGTTACAGTGTCTCGCATGCTGAAGTCGGGCTGTGTTTGGCTGCAGGGCACACGAGAGCAGCAGCTCCTGAAGAAACTGCAGAGAAAGTGGCCGGATCGCATGTGCTGCGGCTCACAGCATCCAGCAGCTTCTGTCCCTCATCTGGACACAGACCTGTAAAACTCTGTCATGAGCCGTCAATGCCTCGTTGCGTCTTGAATCTGGGTCACGTATATGAAGGGAAATATTCAACTGCACAAATTTAATAAACCCCTGCTGGCTTTCTCTCTCCTTTGTCATCATTTTGGCTTATTATTTGCATTAAAATTGTAACATCTCAGCATGTTAACGAGGAGCCGAAGCACACAAAACAGCACATTCTCAGTCACTGTGTCTGGAATCAGCACTATGTCCGTCCTGTATGCAGACGACTGTAATATTTCAAAAATTTGTGTCATTTATAATCGCTGACTGCAGGATATCAGCAACTAGACTAGACAGCAGGTTAAAAGTTAACATGAAACTGTGTTTACAAGCCACTGAACTTCCTCAAAGTCACTTTTTTTCAGAGTGAAACACAGTGTTTTTGACCGACTTAAGTAGGACTTGAGCACATCTTTATATGTAACTCCATAATTACTTCTATTGTCTTTGAAATATGGTTAAAGTATTGATGAATGTACTCACATGCATTTATGATAAACTTAAATATACTTTAATACCACTGAAACTTGCAGTTTTATATATTTAGACACATTTGTAAATTTAGTGTAATTTAATTTGAAATATGTTAACTTTAAATGTAAAATTAAAATCAGGTTTTAGTATTAGTCAACACAGCAAAATAAGTCTACTTATTTAAACACAATACAATATTAAAACATTATGTAAAATGTCATTTTAAGTCAAACTTTTAATTTGATATTATTACAAAGGCCACTTTTTTAAAAGTGTACTTAAGTGTGTTTAGAAACAATACTTTCAATTACTTAAGTGGCCTTTTGTTTTATTGAATATCACTGAAATAAAAGGCAACTTAAGTGACTTAAAGAGAACAACCTTCATGTTTCTTAACACACTTAAGTACAATTTTATTTGCAAATGCATTTTGTTATATAAAATATACTTTTAAGATTGGAAGTACACTGCAAGTGCACATTTATTACGATCAAGGACACTTTTTAAAAAAGGGCTGAATGTGGAAGACTGAAGTCTGTGCCGTTGAAGTGACGTCAGTGAAAAGCAAACGTTTAGCAGAAGAGGAGCAAGTCATTTCAGTCAAACCATCGGGAAAACACTCTGCTTCACTTCACTGACAAAGTTTTGATCCCTGAGGTAACAGCAGTTGCCAGCAAACACCTGATCTGCTGCCGATGTACTTTGCATCTGAAAATATCCACATTGTTAAACGACATTCTGTGAAGTTTGTCTAGCAACCATTAGTCACTTGCCAATTAAAATCTCTAATGACTTAATACTTAGAAGTCTGTCTCTTTCTGTGGCAGCGTTCTGTGAATACTGAACAAACACCTGCGCTCTGAAGCGCCATCAGGATTCTAGCGGCTTCCGCACAGTCTTAATTGTGGAGGCTTCACATGCTGAGCGCTTCTCAACTAAACATTTATATTCCCAGCCTTCTCCTGCTCTCCCCGAGACGCCGTCACGCTCTTTCTCTTGGCTTTGAGAGCCAGGTCTTCCTAACCCATTGCTCTCATTTTACATATCACGTGCATATCTGACCCGAGATATTATAAAAGATGGGTGGAATCTGAGCTAAGCAAAGCACGTCTCACTCATCGATAAATAATTAACACTGATTGAGTAAATAAAAGTTGAGGGTTTTCAGGATTTCCTCTCAGATGTTTGATCAGATGTACTGGAGAAACGTACAGCGATTATACAATGAAGATCAGCCAGCATGGTGCGTTTTTACTGAAAATATAATGTTGATTGTTGGGTTCAATCAGAAATCTCTCTGATTTGGAAATTGGCTTGTGTGAGAAGGGCTGCTCTCTCTATAGGAAATACCTCTCTGTCTAAAGTTTGCTTTGTATGTACAATGCTTTTGATGGGAAACATTGGAGAAGAAAATCCTGTATGTTCTTTGATGCCAAACAGACTTCTTCTGAGTGATAGCTTGACCCTGTTACCCTGAAAATGTCAAAATTATGAAAGCCAAGGTTGTCAAACTGTAGTTTGAGAAGAAAAGAAAAAAACTCAAAACAAATGTAAAATATAAAAGCTAAAAATATTTAGTTGACCTCCTGAGGTTCACAATCAATATTTTCTAAGCAGCTCTTCTAAGTGTTTTTAAAATATTTATATGTCATTTCATAATTTCATAATAATACTTGATGATGAAATACTGCTGAATGCTCTGACGAGCATTTATGATAAACTCAAATATACTTATAAATGTTATTTCTTAAATGTAGTGCATTTAAAATATATTAACTTTACATACTGTATGAATTATATGTTAAACAAATCAAAATAAATGTACTTCTTTAAACCTTGAGAAACGAGTAAAACAGTGCTTTAAAATGTACTTTGAAGTAAAAATATTTATTTGACATCACAGCTCATATTTTAAAAGTGCACTTAAGTGTGTTTAGAAACACGGTGATAAAGGTATCTCTCTTTAA